GCTTTTTTTAGAGCATCCGAGCAAAGGAATGAATGGAGAATCATGATCGCCGATGTCTGTCGCAGATCTGGCACTGGATGATGATGATGATTTGCAATTGAAGAAGCGAACGAGCGATTCGTTTACATGAATTTTGCTGGAACCTACCTTTCTGTTTGTTGTTTTTGTTTGTTGTTCTTTCGAAAGTTTTAAAGATTTCAATTTTTAAATATTTTTTTAAAAACATTTTTTGTTTGTATTTCAGTAGTAAAAGTTGTTGCATGTGTTCATTCTTTTTCAGAACCCATTTTTTTTTTTGGGGGGGTTAAACTTTAGAGTTGGTTCAAATGTATTTTATGAATAGAGTCTGCTGTCTCATTTTGCTTTTTGTTATCCTATAGTGCCATATTTTACCATATTGGGTCGCTTTTAAGGACAAGCGGGCTAACTTAGATATCGATGGGGTTCCAGAAATCTTAACCTACACCAAAAGTGGACTTTGCCCTACTTATAGGAGAAGTTTGGTTTCATTGGTGTGTATATTTGTTTGGTTTTAGAGAAAACTCTCCCTGTCTTTTAGAGAAACTGAACAAGGGTCCAAAAACTTTACCTTCGATTTTCTCGAAACAGCATATTTCAGGATAGCCCCCTTGTTCTTAAAAGCGACCATTTATGTGGGTGGTTGGATGGTGCCCTGACAGTGAAAGATCTTGTCAGTTTGTTAGTGTTTGAGCGCTTAGCCAGCTGCTTGCACTGTATGCTTCCCGGGAAACTGAGAATGTTTCTGAGTGTTCTATGGTCTGCTGGGGTAATAATATAGTGTGAAGCGCAAAGAGCTTTCTTTCGAGTGGGGACATGCGCTATACAAATGCTATTTATTATTATTATTATTATTATTATTACGTTTTCAGGCTTCCAGTTGGGAAGGCACATACGACCCTGACACGGAGAGGCAACACGTGAGTTTTGTTTGTCTCTGAGTTTTTTCTTAGACTTACATCTATCGCCTTTATCTCTCCTCCTTCTTTTTTCTGTTTGTTACTCTCTTGTAACACCTCTAATCTTCAGCACTTATATGACCTTATTGTGTTGCAAGTGCAGTAAAACTCTTACTGTGGGTGGTTGGCGGGTGCTCTGGTGTGGTTTGCTGCTTCTTTCCCTTCAAACATCTATCGTCCTTATCTCCCCTCCTTCTATTTTGTTTTACTCTCTTGTAACACCTCTAATCTTCTTCTGGCGCTCATATGGCCTTATGCAGTTGCGAGCGCCGTAAAACCTCTACTAAAACTAAACTAAAAGCTGCTTGATTATAATGATTGTCGTGTTTCTGTGTTTGTAAAGCTATGGTTTAAAGGTCATTGTCGTGTCTCTGTGTTTCAGCAACTGATGAAAGAGGACATCAAGCCACTGAGGGTGTACCCGTTCATCTACTTGGCTGTCTCCCTCTTCCCTCTCATCAACAGGTAACAGTGACCCTGACAAATCGGTGGGTGGTTGGCGGGTGCTCTGGTGTGGTTTGCTTCTTCTTTCCTATCAAACATCTATCGTCCTTAACTCCCCTTCTTCTTTTTTATGTGTGTTACTCTCTTGTAACACCTCTAATCTTCTGGCGCTCATATGACCTTATGCAGTTGCGAATGCCGTAAAACCTCTACTAACACTAAAACGTGACAAATTGTGGAGATCTCACCATGACAAATTCCTTCTGGCCATGAACAAGACTGAGAAATATTTGGAGCACATTAACACGCAGACACGCACTCACACACACACACACACACACACACACACTCATTCGTACAAACACATACTCTCACATACTTGACATACACTCAAGAAAAAACACATCCTCACACATTTTCCTTCCCTCTTTCCTTCTTTTCCTTCCCCTCTCTCTCTCTGTGTCTGTCTGTCTCTCTCTCTCTCTCTCTCTCTCTCTCTCTCTCTCTCTCTCTCTCTCTCT